AGCCCAGCATGAGTAGAGGTCTCTTTTTTCCTCTTGTACTTTATAGTGTACATTTAAGTGTTTTCTTTCTGTAACGCTACCGATCTCCGACCTGTATCCCCATGTGATGTCTGTGTTGTGTGTGTAAGGTCGGGGGGGTGGGTCCTATTTCACTGCAGGGCAACCTGCACGTGGCGAATAAAGCTTTGATTGATTGATTGATTGACTGTACACACTGCAAAACCACTCAGAGCTCAGAAGCTTAAAAAGGGGCCAATATGTGACTGTGGAGACAGCAGAGCAATTTTCACAAACTTTATTTACAAGTTTAAGCAAAGGAATAAACTTGGTGAGGGATTCGGGGCTTGTTATTTGAACACGACTCGTGGTGTATTTGAAAGAGGAATATGACTCATGTTGCAGGCAGAGTTGGCGACACTTTGAGGAGCAGCTGAAGGTCCGGGTGAACTGAAGAGAGCGATGCTGGGCTGACCAGAGTTAAAAGGGATCCAGTGCAAAGCGGTGGCAAGAGGGCAGCCAGGTGCCATACTGAAATCCTTCCCAGGAGTCAGAGTGTGACACAGGTGCTGTGACCAGAGAGCTGTAGCACAAGAAAAGCAAGGTGGGTACATAGACTAGAAGTAATACACACAAACATCCTGAGACTCAGACTGAAAACCCCACAAAGGAGGGGGGATGGGGTTGGGGTGGGTTTCTGCTCTATGGCAGGGATGTCAAACTCCAGTCCTCGAGGGCCGGTGTCCTGAAACTTTTAAATGTCTCTGCTGCAACACACCTGAAGAACATTAGTAGGTCATTAGCAAGACTCTATAGAACTTATGTGTTGGGTATATGATGACATGTGCAAATCCTTTAAATGAGTTTTTCGAGACGCTGACAAATGAAGTATTTATTGCTGAAAAACAGTCATATCTTTGACCTGCAGATAGTCTGTAATATTAGATCAGGTTTCTTTGTGACTAATGATAGCAACATGGCCAAATGAAACTGAGAATAACCCACTAAGTAAATTGTCATGGATCGCTGTGCAGCAGGCCGGAGTTGGACCCAAAATGCAGGACTCACAGACTCGGGGGGATGAACTCAAATCGCAGCTGGCAGGGAAAAAACAGACAAACTAAACTGGGAACAACAAACTAAGCACTTGCAGAGAGACACAGGGAGATCCACACAGCATGAGGGAGAACGCGACACAGAACTGAGGGAGACGCAGACATAAATACACAGAGGGTTAACGAGGGAAGTGGGAGCACACGGGGAACACAGGTGACACTGATAAT